ACGTTGCTACCGTATTTTTTATGGTAAAATTCCGGCAACCAGAGCAGGTTTTTTACCGTAAATTTTACAGAATTTTTTTACAGTGTACACTCAGAAAGTCCAGTTTTGTGGACATTCACACAAAGACCAGTCACTGGTCAGGTGACTACATTTTAATAAGTGTTTTCTCAACATTTCAACATTGCATCAACTACTGATGAAAATTCATTTTTATTTGAATTATCACTCAGTTGGTTATTTAATTACTATGTCTTTGGAAGGCTTTTGTCTTTTAAACACATTAAAATGCACAAATTCACATTATTTCTTATTTACTTGTAATGCAGGCATTCACATACTTTTTTTTTGTCATCTGAACCTCTTCCACCTAATATTTTTACTTGAAGTACCCCTGAGATTTAAAAATAAATATTTTAATAATGAAGTATCACATTTGCATGTTCACGGCTCTCTGACGTTGGTTAATAGTCACATGACATGCAGGTAAACAAATAAAATATTTCATTTTTTTAGTAAGCGTCTTATTTTGATTGTTATTTTAAAGGTGACATATCATGAAAATCTGACTTTTCCAAGTGTTAAGTGCTATAATCAGGTCCTCAGTGCATCTACCAACCAAGGAAACGTGAAAAAGATTAACCCAGTAACTTTGTTTTGGTTAGTGCTCACATGCTGTGACAGCCGCTTGCTGTGCGTGTGCTTCGGATGTGTGCGCTCAGAAAACCGTATATCAGAAGTTTAAACTCATATGGTTTCAAACACATGATTTCAGCGCGATAAACATGATAATCAGAACCATGACAGATGTTTTTAGCAGGTACGAGCTGTAATGGTGCAGCTTTATTCTGGAAAAGGGGGCGGGAAGCAGCAGCTCATTTGCATTTAAAGAGACAGGCCAGAAAAACAGCGTGTTTCTGCTTCCACTCAAAACCGGCATTTTCAAAATGATATAATAAATGATCTGTGGAGAATTTTGAGCTGAAACTTCACAGACACATTCTGGGGACACCAGAGACTTATATTACATATTGTAAAAAGTGGCATAATGTGTCTCCCTTAAAAAGATATATTTTAATTTTACATTTTATGATTTAATTAATTATTAGCTTTGAATTAAACTCACGAACCCCCTGCAGTTCCTTACGAACCCCAGTTTGGGAAACCTTGATGTAATATAATGTTTAATGCACTTCATGTTGTTAATTTCAACGAATGGAATATATGTTCTTACTCTTTGTATTTGTATATCAATATGGTACAAGATTATCCTGTCTAAATCAATGTGATAAACGAGTTTGGTCGAAAGTAATCTAATTATATTGTAATGCAATGGATTACATTACTAACTACAATTTTTGTCATGTAATTTTGAATCAGTAACAGATTACAATTTGTAAGTAATCTACCCAGCTCTGTAGCCTATATACAGTATATAGCATAAGGAAAGCAAAGTATATAAAATACAACAAATATAGTCATGCATTAAAATTCTATTATAATATCATATTACTGTTACTATTATTAATATATTATCATTTGTACACATTACTGTAATGATAATTTGTAATAATGACTATATACTTATAATTTTATAATATATATATATATATATATATTATTTATTTACAGAACTGCACGCAAATTAAAGAGATTCTGCGACACGGAAAAACGTGTAACAAACCAAACGACGACGTTATTTATAATAATGAAATTAAAATTAAAACCCACCTAAACCATGAATGAGCGCTGAGTTGTTGAACTTGAGACGAAACCGATACAAAGTGAATCAGTCAGAAGGAAATACACAGATCTGTGCTTGTAATGCTGCGAACCGGAGCTGATCTGAGCTGAAAGAGACTCGGGCTCACCTGCAGCTGCTTCTGAACACATCGGGCTTCAGGAACCGGAAACCTCGATTCGATCAAAAGAAACAAAACAAGCGATAAAGCGAAACATGACGAGTTTCGGGACTCTTCCTCTGATCTCTGATGGTGCCGCACTCCTGCAATCCTATTGGCTGGTGAGCGTCACGTGACCCCGCTGGCTGATAGTCGATCACGTGATGTGTTGCTACATAAACAGAAGACTTCAGGCCCTTGAAGCTGCTTCACATTCGTACTGGTACTCAGATATATATATATATAGATAATTTTTTTTTATATATATTTTTTTTCTCAAGTGAAAATGTAAAGTTAGATGCTTTGAGGTAAAAGGAATCCCTGAGAATTGGGACAGAAGGCTGCTGTAATTACTTAAAATATAATTCATGAAGTTATTTGATAATTTCATGAATTCAAAGCCCATTTCAAACTTGTTCATTATTCATCATAGCCTATAAGCCTTTATTTCTATTATCAAATCTCTTAAATTAAACTAAAAATATAGGCCTGTATATAATTCATAATATAATTTAGATGCATCAACTACATTGTTAAAGTTAATTTCCATAGAATATTTAGGTAACACTTTATAATAACTATCATTTATGAATCATTAACAAACATTATATAATGCTTAACAGATCATTAGTTAATATATATTCACATAGCTAGAAATATGAGATAATGTTCTTGATAATGTTTACTAATCATTACCTACTGACTAACATATGATTATGATGCTTAACAGATCATTAGTTAATATATATTCACATAGCTAGAAATATGAGATAATGTTCTTGATAATGTTTACTAATCATTACCTACTGACTAACATATGATTATTTAACATAAACTGAAATGCTTAGACATGTCAGTAAACCTTCAGTTCATATGATCTTCATTTGTTGGTCTTTGTTTGTTGTGTAGACCTCTGTTTACACATCTTAACAAGTAATCTACTAATTATTTGTTTATGTATTTTCAGTACCCAATCTAAAGTTGAAACTAGTCATCATTTGTAAATGTTTATAAACGATTACTAATCATTTAGTATCTTTATTGGCACTGGACTTTTAGCTACTGTAACAAGGTTTGTGTAAAGGGTGGCTGGTTAAGTTTAGCTAAATGCTTGCTAAAGACATAACAGATTGTAATTTTGGTCACATTAGTATACTACTCTTCAGTATGTCATTAAACAGGATAGCTGTTCCTTGAATTATAAATAAACGGGAAAATAATAATATTATAATAATCAAATTGACCCCTGTACACTGTTGACCCTTTAACCAACCCTTAAACCTACCCATACACCAAACCTGTGCCTAACCTACCCGTATCACACCTCAATAGCAGCTAAAGTGTCGTGCATTAACATAAGCTTTTAATCACTGTATAACATCTCGTATTAAAATTTGTAGATTTTCAATACGTGCTTGATCATATGGATTGAAAGTTTAATGACATTTGTAAGTATTTTAACTTACATGAAATAATGATTAGTTTGAATATTATCTAATGTTTAGTAAGTTTATTAGCAGACATTAACAAGCACAATATCTCACGTTTCTAACTCTTTGAATATATATATATTAACTAATGATCCATTAAGCATTATATAATGATCATTTGTTAATTATTTATTAATGAAAGCTATTATAAAGTGTTACCAATATTTATTTTAGTATTTGACATTAATACAGCTTTTTCAGATAAATAAATAAATCCTCCTCCTGAGAAATGTTTGAATGCTGAGTAAATCCTTTTTAATCTGATTGTTTCTTATTATTATGACTGTCGTGTTGTAATGAAGCATAATTTCAGTGAAAGTCAGTAAAGCTGCTCTGACGTTTCCACTGCTGACAGGAGCTGCGACTGGTTTAAACAAGCAAGTCAGTTACATTCATTTATTAATTTATTGGGGAAATATAAGGCAAGGCAAGGCAAATTTATTTATATAGCACATTTCATACACAATGGTAATTCAAAGTGCTTTACATAAGCCCACAGGCTTTGGTGGTCGTGGGGCCCGCCGTTTTTTAGTTGATATCTGGGGGCTTGCAGCGAAAGAGTGGGAGAGTTTGGTCCCAGCATAAACCAGTTCCTCCATTTTTTGTGAGAAGCTTAGAAGTGGAGATGCTGGAGAGAGGGATAATGTGTCTGGTGAGCGGGGCTCTGGCTCTGCTGTTTCTGGTGGCTGAAATATGTTGCCCTGGCTTCCCTGGCTGTTTTCCAGAAAGTCGTCCTTCAGTATTCACAAGCCTTGTCATAGCCGTATCTGGGGTAGAGGATGCTATGGCAGCAATACGAGAAACTCGTGACAATCTGATGTCTCTACTGCCTTTGGGTTTGGGTGCCTTTTGTTTTATAAACAAAATTCAGGGTTCCCATTCTTTCAGACCAATGCATTTCCATGATTCAAACCTAATTATCATGAACAAACATTTGTCCTTTCATTACTGAAATCATATAATCACATTTTTAATGTAAAAAAATATTTATTATCCATTATCAATTCGTTTTATTATCAAACTTTGCTCAGAATTTGAGTCAAACTTTTAAGGAGTTTTCAGTGAGTCCCAGAGACTCTGAGAATCAGATGTTTATAAACAGTTTTACTCAAGTATTTCTATAGTAAGTATTTATATTTCATTCAACATTGATGTGGATTAAAAAGGACTTTTACATCCATTTACATCAATGAACAAATGAGCATTTAATCGCTATAACTGAAATAAACAATTATTCGTTTAGTCTCATGTTGAACAAATATTGAAATTGTGATATGGATTAAATATGAAGCATGGTGAGTGTAAAAGATGAAAGCAGGTCGATCCAGAACTACAGGTGTAACATTTACTGACTATTGAACGCTAAGATCCTCAGAGAGGAATAGGTACAGAAGAAAGGAAAGACTGTGTTAGTGAAGGTGGTTGTGAATGTGTGTAGATGTGTGTTAGTTACAGGATCAGAGAATGACACCGTTCCTCTGTCATAGTCCAGATCAACTCTCACACGCTCAAGCTTCTGTTTAACACGAAAACCAAACCAATCAGACCATCTGCGCTGAACACTCCAGACATCAGTGTTAAAGAAAACATTTACATTTACATTTACATTTAGTCATGCAGGAAATGGTTGACTGGTCAAGCTCCATCTCAGACTGGTCAGATCATCAGACAGGATGAGATGTGGATTTGCAGTGTTTGGATCCAGAATCACCGGAGCTGATGAGACACAATCAACAGCTGCTTTTATTCTGATGTTCATATAATGATCAAGAGTGAACCATACACAGATTATTATGAATTATGACACTCGTCCTATTGATCAAACACATCAGACATTTTCCTCTCATCACTGTCAGTGTTGTTACAGTAAATATTTTAGATTTGCCAATCAAACTGAACTGAGATCTGCTGTATCACTGTAACTGTAAATATCATGTGGACCAAAGTTGTTCTTCTCTTGTTTTCGGCTCATTTTGGTGTAGAAGCTCATCTGGTTATTCACACATAATGCTGAAATCTGTCAATATTCCCTCATGCGTCATTTCCAGTGTGTGTGTAACCAACGTGATCTCATGATAATTCGTATGTATTTTACGTAACATGTGGTTCTATAAAACATACATTTACTTACGTTTTTACAGGCACTAAAACGTACAATGCTAACGTATTTTCAGCATCTAAACGTACAAATACTTACGTATTTTCAGCATCTAAACGTACAAATACTTACGTATTTTCAGCATCTAAACGTACAAATACTTACGTATTTTCAGCATCTAAACGTACAAATACTTACGTATTTTCAGCATCTAAACGTACAAATACTTACGTATTTTCAGCATCTAAACGTACAAATACTTA